TACCCAGTTATGGTCATTTGAGAACATGACCTAATGCCATTTTTAAATGACTATGTCCGGTTGGAAACGGTTCTAACATGGCATACTCATATGGGGACTGGCCAGCTAAACACAACTGTACTTTCCAGTACAATTATAATTTCCAGATTAAATGCTTTTAAAAACAAGACATTTATATAGTGCAGAGGACAGAAGTTTTTCCTGGATGGCACACTTTGTGCCTGCTACTTGTTCTTTGTAGTAATTTGTGTTGGCATTGCAATGTCAGCAGCATAAAGTTGATGAGATGCAGCAGTTCATTTAGAAAAAAAAAAACTAGTCAGAATATTGTCAGGGAAGAAAATTATGACAAGTTTCAATAGTTGGTGCAGTTTGCAATTTCATCTTTTTTATAGACTATATCGATGAACCTCCCTTTACCTTCCCTGAGAATTCATAGTGGGGAGAAGTCAGGTTCAGATACAGGACACCTGCTCACTGACACAAAACGTTTAGCGCATGTCATCTACCAACACTGGAAGGTTACTTGTTACAGTTGGCATAAGGCTCTGAACAGATATGGCAGATGGTAACAGCAGGGTACCCAGCTAGTTCCTCATAGGTGAGCCGGCTATGGGCAGGAGCACTAAGAAGATTCCCTCAAACAAATGATTACAAGGGCAGCGCTCATAGAAACACTCTGTAGCAACATCAGAAGTTATTAAATAAAATAGGACCAGATTGAAAGACTCTAAAAAGATTATGGAACTGGTAGCAGTATCAAGTATGTTCTATATGGAAGGATTGCTACATTCCTATAGGACTTTGCTGTCCCAGCTGTAACAATACTGCAACTTCTGTGACTATAGTGGCTGTGTTCTTGTCTGCAAGCCATGGGACACCCATTCCAGTTCTGTGCACATGGTTAGTCTCAATTCATGCTTGTGGAACTGAAATATACCAATATAACTGGTAAGAATAATCAGCAAACTCATGAATTAAGTTCATGTCAATTAGTAGATTTTCCATTTCCCTTTTGTTGTAAGAAAAAATATGTTGAATTTTGGGTCCTGGAAAGCTAGTTTAGGAATCATCAATTCCATGTTTCCCGTTTCTTAAAAATATTACATTATTAATGACAATTATATAATGAAAACGTGCTTTGATTTATAGATTTCTAATTCATACAGGAGATATAGCTTGGTTAACTATGGCCCAGAATAACTGATATTAAAGACTTCCTTTATCTTGAATAATACACAGTGTGTGTGTGCATGTACACATGGTATTAAGGATTGAATGTGTGCCTTTCCCCCACCAAATCATAGTTGAAGTCTTGGGCCCCAATGGGTACTTGGGAGGTAATTAGCCTTATGTAAGATACTAGAGCCCTTATAAAAAGAAAGACACCAGCTCTCTCTTCCCTTATATATGCACCCAGGAAATAACCAGGAAAAGACGGCTCTCAGCAGAACCCAACTGTGCTGGCACGCAGATCATGGACTTCCAGCCTCCAGAACTGATAAGTAAATGTCTGGTAAGCCATCCAGTCTATGGTACTTTGCTACACAGTCAAACTGACTAATAAACATGCTTAACAGGGAAGACAAAGCTTTTTGAGGATGCTGTCTATCTCCCAAGAGAGTTTAAAGTAATAGATTTACCACATTCCAGGGCAGTGTTTCCCACACTTTTAAAATCTATGCCCAGTCCTACATACAAATGACAAATGTAAAATTTTACACCCTTAATATTACTTGAAATTGCAACATCAGGACAGAGTCATAAATCACTTTCCCAATCATCCTTCTCATATATCCCACTCCCCATTACATTCTTAGTGATCACCATCCAAAGTCCATTCTAGAAACCTGATTTCATAAGCACTTTCAAGAAGAGTTATACCTTGGGGGAGACTCACATGACCAAAGGTCACCAGGACAAATGTATCATAATAGAAGACCAATTAATTAATTTACAATGAACAATGTAAATATTACACAGGCCAGAGGACTTGTACTGAAGCCACTAGTGCAAGTTCTCCCTATTGGTTGATCTCCATGAACAGCTCAACCAAAATTAGATGGCTACTGGTAAAAGTGGTGTCAGGACAAGGAGCATGAAATGAAATATCTAATGGCATCAGACTGAACTGGCCTGATGCATGTATCCTATTGGATGATCTTGCCAATAAAGTCATATACCATTGGCTATAGTTGCTTGTGTCCTTCTTTGTAATAGAAACTTCCTTGCTGATGCAACTGGAAGACCCCAAGGCTTCAGCCATTTTCTCTCTGTAAGTGCTTGGCTAGGCATTTCCAACTTTTTGCCTCCTGACTTTTTCTATTTCAAGAAAATCGTGTAGTACCATTTTGAAGTTAGGGACAATCTCATTTCTAAGTTCTTGGAGATGACTCACTATATTATTTATGACAATTTAGGATTGTGTGCATATGTGCAATTACCTACATACACATTCACATGCGTCCATTTGTATGCTTATTTTTTGTTAGGATTGAGCTCTGACATGATAAAAACTAGAGAAAAAACATTGCCACGTGGGATGGTTTTAACTGAACTGGAGAATAATGCAGTTTTGCATTAGAAATGTAAGAGAACTGGGCCTCCCCGGTGGCGCAGTGGTTGAGCGCTGGGTTGAGAAGCTGCCCGTAGCCTCTGCAGCGCCGGTTTGATCCCCGGCTGCTCCCTGGCCACCGGAGGAGGGTCCCACATGGCGCGCAGACCTCTCCTGCCGTCCGCTGCTCCCCTCAGCAGTACTTCGGTCCTTCTGCCTGTTCTGCTCCCCGCTCTGGTGAATTCTCTCACCCTCCCGCGCTTCTGACTGTACCCAGTGCTTGTATAAATAAATAAATGTTAAAAAAAAATCTTTAAAAAAAAATGTAAGAGAACTACGATGGCAAATATCTGAAAATATTGCCAGGTCCTAAAAAATAGGTAACTAACCATGAAAAGTGTTCAAAATGTAAGCTCTGAGACATCCTTCTTCCCAGGATTAATGACTTCTCTGCATGACACATGCATTCCAAACAATGGAAACATTTTTATCTGGGATATGTAAATTAAATGAGCAGTCTGACTTACAAAAAGTACTTGAAAGCCTCTTTAGAAATGCCTGTTTGATTTGATCACACTGTAAATACAGCATGGAAAGCATGAGTTATGCTCCCTTGAGAAGATCAATACTACTCAGTACAGAAAAGGCTTTCTATACAGTTGCTGAAGGAAGTGTTGGCTGTGGTCAAAGGAGATTGTAGCCCTCCATCCCCCCCTCAGCCCTGGTCTCAAATAGACCAGTTGTCATCTCCTGCTACTGTGAAGCATTCATTACTGATGGACAACTTGCTTATTATGAAGCTGTTTTAATTAGGAAAGGGTAGGATTACATTTTCCCACAATACTTTTTTCTCTTAAATGCTTCTGTTCTATAAAAGGCTTTTAAAACTATTTAGTCTGGGAAACTAAGGTGATCTTCCATATCATTTACCTCTAGGTAACACCTAAAAGAAATCTATAGGGACCCTATTCTCCAACAGAATTTACAACAGAACCAAGAAATTACCATCTGCAGACAACAATAGTTTGTTTGCTTTCAAAACAACTCAAGCTCAGGGCTGCTTTGTGAAGAAGCCTTGTCTCCTGATGGCCAGCCTGTTTCCCAGGGGCAGATGCAGGACAATCCCACTTGGGGAGCTGAACCCTTTCTTAAACTCTAAAACCCTTTAACATGTAGTTTGTAATGTACTAATTAACAGGTTCCAAGGAAGTGTGATTTTACTTCACACCAGAGGTCACTAAAAAAGAGAAAGTTTCCCTTTCCTAATAAAATAAACATATATATTACATGATTAAGATCTCGCCAAGAGGTTTAAGAAAGATACACGTGAAAGAAAATACCCATTATCACTAATTGACTCCCTTGTCTGAACTATTGCAGGATTCAGTGACAACTCCATATTGGGCAATCCAACTGGTCTTTCATAAACTGAGGTGTCTTTAATGTGGCCTCTGTCTTCATTCTTTGCAGAAAAAAAAATCACTATCATTCCCTTCTCATTTCGCCATCCTTCATTATAGTCAGATTTCTCACTTTTATATGGATCTTGCTATTCTGTTACCTTTGATTTACCTTGTTCATTTATTCACAACAATGCTCTGTGGTTTCCAGTGTTGTATCTTCATTGGAACCAAACATGTACTGAGCATACATGATGCAGCATGATTTAATACAAATCGATGTGGAAAAATTCTTATCAGGAAAATAGAAATGTTGATATTTAAAACATTTTGGTCTCTTCACCCAGAAATCTGTTGAACTGTCAATCACTATATTGTTATAAAACAATGGAAAAACATAAAAACGTGGCTATTGTTATCAATAATGGTATATTACAGAAAGAGATGGCGACATTCTACAGAAAACCACCAGGAGGAGTGAGTTAGATATTTAAACCTACGCGAATACTTGTTGCTATTTTACATTTGAGAGGCAGATAATAGGACTTATTTTTTGATGCTGTCACTTTCATCTACCATGACATGCATTCTTAACCTGTGCAGAGTAGTCTGTCTTTAGGTGACATACTTTTTCCTAACCCTGCTGCTGCTTTGGTTATGCTATGACTGTAAAACAGGTACTTACTGGTTCCTCTCTTCCTGCTACTGTTACTGTTGCAGGTGCCTCTGAATTTGGGGTATAGTTATCTGCAATGGTCAATAATACACAATTTCTTCGAAAGAGATCTTTCTTTTAGATTTCTGTCTCATTTATTGCTATCAGCTCAAAGTTTGTTCCGTGGATGGGAAGGCAAAAAGGGATATATGCCAAGGACTAATCCAAATCTGTGGTGCTACCACTCCAACTTCAGATATTTGTACTCTACCCACCCTCCCTTTTTAAAACAGTATTGCTGGTATTCACAAAGCATAGAACTTTAAGTCACAAGGAAAAGGAAACAACAGGCAATGCTCCTACCTGTCCCATTACAGGACACCTGTTTTACCTGGTTGGTAGAAGTCAGGAGACAGCTCCCGGGCTACAGCTCTAGCGATGTCGCACTCCTGCCGGGCGGCCAGTGCAGCCTGGTCAGCGGCGTCAGCTTTTGCTCTTGCATGTGCAGTCCTATATGGAGCACAAAAGGCAATCAGCATGTGTGGAACTGGAGGGGATCATGCTAAGTGAAATAAATAAGAAGGAGAAAGACAAATACTGACTGGCGTCACTATATGCGGAATATAGATAAATAAAAAGGGTCAGACAGAAACCAGTAATAAACCCTAGAAATCTGACTCTAGAATTGAGGCAACCAGGATAGGAGGGGAAGGGCTGAGATAAGGCTGGTGAGGGGATCCAGTGGAGGACTATGGGTGTCTTGGTGGTGGGTGTGGTAACATACATCTGAAGAGGTGTGATCCTATGGCTCTGAGCAACATACAGAGTTGTAAACCAATGTTACCTCAATTAAAAAAAAGAAAGCGATAGCAAGGGCAGCACCTGAACATCTGTTAATGACACCTGGATAAGCAAACTGCCACCCCAGGGAAAGAAATGACAACTGTGACCACAGCCAGACAACAGCAAGTTTAGCTGTTGTTATATAGCTGTGATTATTCCAATAAGGTAACATGGATGAAACTACCTGTATGTTGCCACATTCCTCCTTTCAAGGAGGACATGAATTAGAGCACATGAATTAATGTTGTATTTATAGATATAATTACTATGGTAGAATTAAGATTGTTCCTATAAGAATCTGATTAAGAAGGGTCTATCCAGGGTGTATGTGAGTGGAGTAGCTCTTGGGGGAAAATGTAAAAGTTTGATTTAAGGCATTGACCAGTTTCCATGGTACAAATACTCCCACCAGGGTCAATTTCAAGATACCAGTGTGACTTGTGGGGCTGCAAAGAGATACACTCTGCTGCTCTCAGCAGCCAGTTAAGAGCTGAACTGCTCTAAGAATGTGTTCAGGAAGGCTCCAGTCGTCCACTTAGACTCTTTAAGAGCGTTTCTCACACACCACCAGAGGAATATGTGAGGCAGAGTTGCAGAGAAGGAAAATGAATCTTTGTCCATCCTCACTTATAGAAAGCACTTATTTCAGGTGCAACACTAGGACCAGGAAGCAGGCAGTAGGAAAAAGGACAGTGAAAAAGAGGTCTCCTTGCCCAGCAAGAGGGGATTTTGGAAGGTTATGACTGAGAATTTTGGGTCACCTATTTCCAAAGGGGAGGACCTTGTCTAATTAGTATTTACAGGATGATCTTGAGCAGTTGTGCTTATAATTTTGCAAACTTTGTATTTTATTAATACTAGGCAGAGCTAGAAATAACTGACCATAAAAGCTTATCGTAAAAGAAGTGCTTGCACTTATTTCAGAGATGGCAGGAGAGTAAGAGTTGGGAAATGGTGTTTGCTCTAGCTGATCAGAGGAGAGGAAATACAGGTGACAGCTTGAAGAGGACAGCAGAACAAATATTTGAGACTAGACAGCAGGAAATAAAAAAACAGGGAGGATAGATCTGAAATGAAACCATGGGGTGAACTAGTAGGAGGTACCATTCTCAAATTACTTTCTCTACCTACCCCCTCTCATCGTGTGTTCTCACTCCTGGGTCCATTTCACACCCACATACAACCTAGCCAAATTTAGGGGCTTGATGTACTGCAATATAAACTTCATGGAGATTGGGATTTTTAATTTTTTGGTCCTCTGCCATATTACCAATCATAGGAAACTGCTAGGCACATAGTATTTATGGAGGGCTCACTGTACGATAAATGAAACTATCTTAGGAACAGTTGGATGGACAAAACTACGGAGACATTAGAAAGATAAGTGGCTGCTAAGGTTCAGTGTAAAAATGGGGAAGGGAAGAACAGGGGAGTGAAACTATTGTGTATGATACTGGAATGAGGAGATACTAAACATCATGCAATTGTCAAAAAACCACTATGCTTGCACAAAGAGTTAACCCTGATGTAAATTATGGATGTTAGTTATACCAAATGTACCCATAAAGCAAGATGTGGGGGAGAAGAGGTATGTAGGAATTCTTTACTTTCTGCTTAATTTTTTTTTGTAAACTTAAAACTGTTCTATAATAAATTCTATTTTTATAAAAAAATTCTATTCTTAAAAATTAAAATTCCAATTATCAAAGTTGTTATTTTTGAATCATAGAGACTGTTTTAGATTATATCTGTCAATAGGTTACCATGAAATATGAAACAAAAATAAAATGCAGAGGGTAGGGACACATTCCCAAGTGACTGGCTGTGGTGAAAGCCCAGCGGGAGTCACTCCGATGATGGGCGGTGAGTCGTCCTGTGTGTTGTGCCTGAGAATCACTGGATGCCTCCTGTTTTGTTTTTTCAGTTTCTCAGAATCTCGACTCCTTTTATCCCCCTTAGAACTCTTTAAATCTGCTATTCTCAGCTAAAGCCTAATTATGTCTAGGTATCATAATTAATGAAGCCTAAGAGTGCAGAGTCATGCTGCCTTATAATAAAATCTGCTAGCCCTTCAATGACAAATTTACAAAACTCAAGTACAATATAGTCACAACCACCACCATAGTCAAATAAAATGAGTTATCTCTACCACCTTTTACAATATGCTAAACTACAGCTAACCATTCTGCAAATATATTTTGGAAGCACAGCATCAGTAAAAGATCACTTGTGATTTATGGACCTTTACTTTTTTGCTCTTTTCTGTAAGACCAAACAGAAAGAGGGTCCTTTGCCACCTAGTGTTCCTCTTGTGTCAGTCAGTGCTCAAGCATAACTCTCAAGGTGAGTCAAACTACCTTTCAATAGTCCTGGATCTGATGAAGAAGTAGAAGAGAACAGGAACCTATCTGAGTTTGCTGTTGTTACCCAGCTTTTTGTGACCAGGTCATTGATATGTTTAGATTTTTTCTAAGAAAGATCTGGGTCTGACCCTGGCTCATGTTAGTGAATTCATGTGTTCAGTCCCAGGCTCTGGTCCAGAGCAATACACAGTCTCTTTAATCAGTCAACTGATAAGACATGCCATTGTTCACGGATGGGTGGGATGGCTAGCTGGTTCAGGCTAGCTGGTCTAGGGTACTAGCTGAGACAACCCAAAGTGGAGGCCCTGCTGCTGCAGCTGTGACATGGAAAACACACACACACAAGGAACACACATGCCCAAGAAGCAGCCCTTCATTTACTCAAGAGGCAGCTGATATCCGGTAAGTCTTCTTGAAGCTCCAAATATCGATACTATTATCTCATTTACTTTGCCACATAAAATGCAGTAAAAAGCAAATTCTTTCTGCTAGGCATCAGCGGTTAACTTTCTGTTAGGGTGATTAATTTTTACAAATAAAAGTTTCAACTTGTGGAGAGTTATTAGGTATGGGTGAAGAGATAGAGAGAAACCCAGGCAGCTGGCTCAGCTCACTCAACAGCTACGTGACTCCCTTCTGGACACAAGCCCTGCAGAGGTCATGGGTGAGGTGCTGAAGCAGTAAATGTGGAATTTCTGAATGTTAGACATCACCTATACTCAAGAATTGAATTACAAATTATTTTTCCAATCGGTAATTTGATGAGTGTGTTTTTTGTTCTTTAATGACTAATAATGTTTTCATGAAGTCTCAAGTCCATTTACTCAGAAAAAAATAGCCTGGCTTTCCCAATTTTTCCTAAACATGATGCTTTTACAAAGAAAGCATTATCAAGAGTATATTGAACATGTTCAGCATAGACACCTTCTGCTAAGGCACATCTGATGCCAGGGATGTCTGTGCTGACTTGTGTCAATCTTTTCTACATCTGTTCACTGACATGGCTGATAAAGATTTTTAGCAGAATACCCGTCCATTCTAGATTAAGGTAAAACAGCATACAACAGTTACACATTTTGCAGTTTCTACTTTTTACACACTCTCTTATGAATAAACTGCTTCAAAAACATGCTCATTTTAATTTCTAAAATTTGTAATATATTAAGTCAAAGTTCACTAATATGACTCTTAAAATTTGAGGCAGAGGTATAATCTAACTGGTTCAGGGGCTGTACATGTGATTTGCTTTGATGCTCAAATGTTTAAAGGCAACTGTTAGCAAAATTTAAAAATAAGAACAATTATACTTAAGAATCTCAGTTGATAGCAACACTATTCTCCTAGTCACTCAAGCCAAAATCCTTGAGTCAGCCTTGATGCTGCCTTTCTCTGACACACCATATCCATGGTCAGCAAATCCAGTTGGCACCACTTTCAAAATATATCCCCAATGCAACCATTTCTCATTCTCCTCACTCTAGGTCAATCACTGTCATTACTCACCAGGACTACTGCCAAGGCAGACCTGACCTCCCTGCTTCTATCCTTACTTACCCTTCTATTAATATTTCCCTTCTGGTTCTCTTGCAAGTGCCTGACAATAACCAAAACTATTTCCTGGATTATGGCATCAAGGACAAGAAAATATAAAAAATTATGACCTGTCAGCCTTCTTTCTAGACTGTGACAATATTCATCTACGAGAGACCTAGATTTATGGAAAACAATTAATTAGCACATACAATTGTAGTCCTTTTTATGAGAAGCCAGTATGAAGCTAAGAACACTCTTGATGCGAACAAGGACTAGGGGATCCACAGAGCTGAAGCAGATGCTTTCTCAGTTGCTGCACATGTCTTTCAATCTTGGTTGAAAGATTTGATACTCTGGTTAAACCAACCTGGTAAGGCTCAGCATATACTCTTTCCGCTAAGGTACATGAGGGTCCCTCAGATGTCTGTCCCAACTTCTAATGTTCAGACTTATGTCCATTAACCAACATGGCTGATAAGGAATTAATCTAGGCTGAACAATGGTGCTGTTAAAGCTCCATCCTCAGTAAACTGGGTTTGGAAAGACTATGTCTTATGAGTCCAATCTTTTTACTTAGTAGTTCTTGAATGTTAGTTTTCTTCTAATTTTTTTTTTTTTTTTAAAGACAGGACCTGGAAGAGCAACTTCAAGACAAAATTCTTATGGCCTGATTTAAAATAAGCTACATCATCAGCAAATAGCTGTCCTTTTTGCCAGGGCAGGAGTTTATCTCTTCCTTTCCTGTAAGTGAGCTCAAGTTATTTAGATATA